GCATGGAACAACCTGGGGATACCTCCAGGTGCTCAATGAAAGCATAAGAGTGGGTAGGCACATGTCCCCAGGGATTCTTCTTGGACTTAATCACTCATCATTTGTTTCATGTGAAAAGAGCTCGGCCCAAGTCATCCCATACAAAAATAGTAGCATAAATGTCTAGCAATAGAGCAATGGAGCTTCTAGGAGAAATACACAGTCTCCAGTTCAATCTCCAGTCATCTGTTAGAGAATTTCAGCTGTTTAAACCCTTTAGACTGGAATCTCTGTGGTGGCCTAGGGAATTATAGTAACGAAATTGTAGTAGAAAGTAAAAAAACAGGCGAGAGGGAGGTTTTCAAAGGATAGCTTTCAGACCATGGGAACACAGACAAAGATGAGAACATGAGGTACCGCTGAGCTTGTGCTGGAGTTTTCTCAGCTTCCCTTCTGTCCCTTGGGAATAAGACAGGGCAGGGACCACTCTGATAAAACAGGGCAGGAGCTAACACCCAGAAGTACTCTGAAAGATGTTGGGTGGATAAGTACAGTGATAAAAGAAACTAGCACTCTACCGGCTATGATGAATTAATCCACTATAGGAAAAAAAAATTTTTTCAACTAATCTATTGCAAGGCTTTGTTTTCAGAGATGACACAACTGGAGATTCTTAAAAGGTAGAATGAGGTCAAATTTGGCAAAGGGGCGCGTGTGGGCTCTCAGCCTTCCTATGCCTCCCCAACCTTACCCAGGAAATGAACTTAAGGAGGCAAATTTTACTTGGTGTAATTAGGTATTTTTATCTTCATACCTAAACTATCACCAGTGGCTGTGTTAAAATAATATAAAATGAGTGTTGTTTTAAGAACAAAAATACTGTTTATAAATTTCAATTGAGCCAATATCTTCTTTTTTAATTTCCTGAGATCGTCTTAGTAAAAAGCAAATTAAACCTATTTGAGATAGGCTCTAAATGACTGTTATTCAATTCTGTTGGGGGCTTTTACTCTTGGCTGTGGCTAGAAAAGAAGATTCACAGTGAAGGGGCCTGTGGGGGTGCCTACCATCTACCCCCATGTTTTCATAAATGGAAGCAGCCAGGCAAAGAGCACAGCTGTCACCGTTTCCCAAACATGCATCAGGGGTGGGAGCTACTTGAGCAAGGGCCAACATGTCAGGCAGGTTGCCTCGCACAGCAGATCTAAAATTTTATTAGCAAAAACTTGAACTGTTTAGGCAGGTTTGGGGCTTTGTATATATGTATAAAAATAGATCAATTTGCTCAACCTGCCTCTACCCTGTCCATGCATCAGTTCTGAAAACTCACCCGTAACATGCCCACGGTCCCCTGATGTTTGAAATGGCCAGTGAACAAAAGGAGTTAGAACAGACTAGATAAGATGAAAGATTCATCTGGAACGGAAATCTGGAAAGGTTTGTTTAATCTCTCTCCCCTGTGCATCTTCACATTGCAGATTCCAATTGGAATGGAAATGCCAGGTTACTGGGAGAGAAGGTTGTCCTTGTAATGTGTCTTGGCCAATTGGAGATTGGCAGTATTCATGCTCTCTCGAGAGCAACTTCTTGCCAAGCTTCTAGACATTTCCCAAGACATAAAGGATTGGCCAATTGGACAACATTTTGCTCAGCACACAAACTTTTCATTGTGCCATCCAGAGTTTTCAGAACTCTGAGCTCTAGCAAGTAAAAAAAAAAAAAATAATGAAACATCACCCTTCCTTACACAGATTCTTCCAAATGTCACCATAATGGTCTCCCTAAAAGAGTAAAAAAATGCACATACACACAAATTCCCTCTAAGCTACATCTAATTAAGAGAGACATTTAAATAATGAGAAAAATAAAATACAGATAAAGCTACTTTTTACAGATTAACTAAAAATTCAATTGTGGTCCTTATAAAAACTTAACCTTTTGTTCAGGATCAGTTATAACATCATTAACTTTATCCAGAGAAATACATTTATCCTGGGCACAGAATAGAAAAGGTCAAGAACTGGATTCCAAAACTTTTGAAGAGAAAGATATATCTCTAAATTACTAGATGAATTCAACCTTTTGGAAAAACATTTTGTATTCATTAAGAACCTTTTTTACTGTGGGAGGGGAAACATTACTAAATTCTTGGTCTAGAACTGGTGGTAGAAATTATATGAATGCCACTTCACTTGAACCCTTCTAAAATTATGTTGTTGATTCGTGTGTAATTAAAAACACCCTTGAAAAATATTCTACAGCTTGTGATGGGGGTCATTAGACAAATTAGACTAATTATGGTTTTACAAATGCAATTGTAAATTAAGTAAAGTAACAACCAATCCAATCACAGCTGTTTGGAAGAGTTTGTCATTTAAAAACTTCACTTATCACCAAATAATATAATTAGGCAATTACCAAGTGACAACTGAATGATGATTACTCAGTCAAAGCAAAAGGGCAGAAGTTTTAAACTTACAGAAAAGTCACGAACAGACAGATCACAATAAACCAAAGAGAGTGTATCTTGCCTAATTTTGTCTGGCTTTCTGATCAACAACATCTTTAGGCCAGATGGTGCCTAGACCCATGATCAATATCTATTAGGTACAGAAACTAGGAGCCATAGCACTTTTAGGGGTCTGTAAAATTTTTTATTTTAGAAACATAAGGAAAAAGACCTCTTGGGTAAAACATAAATTTTAATATGTATTATTAATATAGTCATCTTGATATCCAAATGACCATGTTATAATTATTAGTTTTTTTCATGGAAGATTCCACAAAGACAGAATCAACCAGGACCCACAAACTCATTATGCAATTCTATTTAAAGTCTTCCCATAGAAATGTAGCATGCAAACCTGCCTGGGAGAGTGACAGGGGCCATTACGAGGTAAGATGAAAGACAGGAGAAAAGAAAGTGGAATGGAGGAGAGACATAGTATGTAGTGCGTAATACATCATAGGACCTAGATACAGGGACGATGAACATTTTGTAGCTTTCAATGACAACAAACAGTCTGCCGTGGCACATGTGCCACAGTTTGCCAACACTGGTTGGTAAGGCCACAGAAATGCAAGAGTTTTATTTTACCAAGAGGGTGCCAGGGCAGAGGTTTCACACTGTATGATGCCAACCACTCTGTGTCCTTCACTAATGCATCTGCAAGCTAGGTATGGTGCTTGATCTACAAAAAGCACTTAATATTTTAGAACATATAAATGATTCCAGGTATGGTATGGAAGCTACTAGGAAGAAATAAACAAATGTATGCCTGCCATAAATTTTTTTTACCCCATTTCTGTAACTACTAGCACCAGCTGTAGTGATTCCTCCTTAGTCCTTTCATCTCTTTCTACCAGTTCTTCCTTGGCAGTGAGAGTAAATTCACCCTGAGGCAGCCTGGATGGCCACTGGAGTGGGTCTTGGTCTGTCCAGGCTCCTTCACCTACCAGCACCATAACTTTTGAGAAATTTCACGCTCTTTTAAACCTCAGTTGCCTTATGTGTAATATAGATATATCAGCTTATACATCAGGTATCAAGAATATAAACATGAGGTGACATGTGTCCCTGCCAAACTCAATGCTTATGTTTATAGCAGCACAATTTATAATAGCTAAATCTTGAAAGAGGCCTATATGTTCATCAATAGATGAATGGGTAAATAAAATGTGGTATTTACACACAATGGAGCAGTACTCTACCATAAAGATGAACAAACTCAAGTCATTTCTAAAATAGATGCACCTTGAAATTACAATGACAAGCGAAATAAATCAGACATACAAGCTTAAATATTGAATGGTTTCTTTTATATGGAAAACCCAAATTATAAATAAAGATCAAACTAAAAGATCAATGAGGGCCTGGAGTTTAGCTCAGTGGGTCCACACCTGCCTTGCAATCACAAGGTCCCAAGTTCAATCCCTGGCACCAAAATTAAAAAAAAAAAATCAATGATAGGAAATAAGAGATAGGTATTTCTTAAAGGGAAGGGGATCAGAGAGGAAGGGAAAGGGGAAGGAGAGGGAAAGAGGAAAATAATGGAATTAAGATGTATTATGGACATGTACCAACTCCCCATAAAGTACGTAAACATTATGTGCTACAAACACAAAGAAAATGTTCTGAAAGAAACAATGCTCCTGAAATGCACCCCTAAATATTTTTAGTGAACTCATTTTCCACACAACTATTAACAAAAGATGTTGCTAAATAAAGAGCAAAGATAAACAGACAGCTGTTTGGTGGCCCAAAAGACAAGGAGCTGTATCTCATCACTGGAAAGACAACGAGGCGGGGAAAGTATGGTTTGCAGGGGCAGTTTTGACAAGATACTGGGAGTGAGAAGTAGGAGACCGAGAGACCTAAACAGCTAACTCCACAGTCCCTTGTTAAACTGCCTTTAGATTAAGAGTCCAGTACACGATGATGACAGCTATGAAGTGACTCACGGGCACATGGTACGGACAGGGTGGACACACTCAAGAGCAGGATGACACCAGACCTGGGTAGGTCGGAGTAGGACACGTGAGATGTTATCACGCTTCTGTGTGACGCACAGTTTAAAGCATTGTTGATGTCAAGATTTTTCCATTTAGTATTTTGGTGAGCACAGGTAATGGAAATAGAGGAAAGCGAATTACATGTAATGAGGGAGTATGGTACTTCTAGTGGAAGAGGAAGCAATCATGAAAGGATAAACAGACATATACAGAATGATATCCAATTGGAGGTCAGTGCAATGACAGGGAGGGGTGCTGAGCAATGGGACAGGGTCTCATAGAAATGCTTTACACAGGGTGGGCACGGCTGGATTGGCCATGCAGGGATTTCTGTAGGAACAAACAGCCTCTTCTTTCTTTCTTGTCTCTTTTACCTCTCTTCTGTCATATTCTGCAAGGACTAAAGGTGACTTAATCTTTTACAACATCTGAGATGGTCCCATCACAGTTGTAAAATGTTACCAGCTTCCGATTTGGGATAGAAGGGGTGCAATAAAGAGGTTACTCACATGTGGTCTAGGATGAAGGAAAATGTCTCTTGTGAGCTCAGGATATGGCTGGAGTTGCCTGCCAGGTATTGGGAGAAATTATATGACTGAGCCTGCAGTAAGATTCCCAATGAACATCGTTTCAACCTCCAGAACCTTCAGAGAAACAGTAACAATTCAATGAAATAGCTCTTAAGTTCATATGAACATTTTTTGTGTTTATTTATCTAATAGTTGATGATGGAAAATTCAAATGTTTTGTATGAGAGATGTCAGTAAGTGTTTTTGTTGTATTATGAAACCTCAAGATTTTTTTCTCCCATGTCTCAATATCTCAATGTGAATATCATCCAAATATTAAACCTTCATCAGCTTAAGTGTAAAGTTTTCTCTAAAACTTTCATTGTTAAATTGTCTTCTTCTTCTAAAATTTGGCTAGAAATTTTCCTAAAATAAGAAGACTGGAAAAGGCTAGCCAATACCAAGAGGTTTTTTTGTTTGTTTTGTTTTGTTTTGTAAATACAAACAGTCTAATGTATTTAAAAGAATGTTGCACAATTATGAAAAGAATACCTATTGGCTCCATTAGCCTTATAAGGTCTAACCCTACCTATTTATTCAGGTACTACTTCTACCCGTTAAAATAAGCAAATGGAATAATGAAATTTTCAGGCTTTGTAAGTCACACTTCAGTTAATTTTAAATTTTTCCAATTAGTGTATGAAATTATGGTGAATGTATTCATTTTAGAAAGTTTTCTACACCTATTCGGTGCCCATGTGAATCTTTAAATTAAGCCAATTAAGTCCTATCTGCATGATTATTTCTGTCATAGACAGATGATTGAATCTTATCAATTTCTCCCCTAGTAGCAAAATCATACATGTACCTATGACACTTAAAATCATCCCTTTCTGCTTCCTTATTACACTGTGAGTCTCCTCCTGGCCTTTCTCACGTACTAGTAACAATCTCACTCCAAAATACAAATGGAAAAAAGCTTCATCTTTATTTTCATAATATTTTTACCATGGCAAGTTCATAAATACTTTTTCTGTCTTGTGGATATTCCAGATATTTAAACTAGTTGTCATTTTCTAGTCATTTCCAAAATATAGACTTTATACCTTAGAAGACAATGCTTCTCTGGCCATGTGCAGATAAGGACTTCTGGTTTCACATTTTTCTTACTATCTAACCAAGAACATGCATGTTAACCTAATTTATAGTATCCCTTTTCTGCCTAGCATAGAATCCCAGAAAACAGACCTTATACATTAAGCAGCACCGTTCTATCAGATTCTGACATTATTTTCTCAAGTCATTTAAGTCATTTGTCTTTCTCCTCTAGCTGTCAGTCTCTTTAAATTCTTTCTCACTTTCGCCTTTGTCCTTATGTTCTTTCATACGTGATCATATCTGACCTCCTTCTTGGCCTTTTTTACTTTCCCGGAACAAACTTCTATTAAGTTCTCAATTCTCTACATTATTCTGTGTTGGAGGATGAGTTCCTGTGTTTAAAATAACCTACCCTGAGCACACACTAGCTTCATCTCCCACCACCTTTTGAAAATCCATTTCTACTGGGACCCTCATTATGCTCATTTTCCTGCTGGCTACATTCTTCAGGCCTCCTTCCCATGAATGTCGCCCAGGGAAAATCAAAGTGTCAGCGCTTTAGGAGAAAGATGCTGTCTGTTCCCATTTCTTCTAAAGTACCATGTCTGGCCCTAAAAACAATATCTTCCATGAAAACAATATTCCTCAACTCAGTGTCAAAGCCTATTGTCCACGCTGTGGCCAGTTCTGCAAAATCAGCTTCAATTGTTCCTTCAGGTATATATTTCCAAGTCTTCTAGAAGTTCTAGCACCATGGGCTCCCAGAAGGTGAAAAGGAAGGAAACAGTTCTTATAATAGAAGGATAAGAAAAGCCATCAAACACATTGTGTGGATCATTTTGCACTAGCAGCAAAAGGACTGACTATTCTTCAGATACAGAAATGAAAAATGGGTGATTTAATAAAAAGTTCTGGAGCTTCACTGGTCCATACATCCCATCCCTTTCATTTCCAGAGATACTTCTAAGGGAGTTCACACAATAGTAACTATTTGTCATCAATTTGGTCCTTTAAAAGCTCAAGTTATCCAAAAGGTTATTTTGTTGGCACTTCATCTTTAAGAAGAGTAGCTATTTCAAATATTCTCTAATGCCCAATCACTCTGCATTATGTATAAGAAACAAAAAGTGGTAATTTTTATTTTAATATATTTTAAACTTTTCTCTATACATCTATCTGAGGTATGATTGAATAATGCTGTGTTTAAATTTTTTAATTTTTATTACAGAATTTAAATTTTTAAATTTTATCACAGAAAAGGCAATTTTTTATCTTTCTCAATAGCCTTTTCAAGATAATTCCCTCTCACCTGAAATACACTTGTGCCATCATTCTTACACTTCTGCAGCAGTTCTGGAAGTCCTCTTTCATGAGTGTCTTTAGTTGCACTATTCCTTCTGCCTCTAAGTCTGGAATTTAATCAAATGCTTACCTTTCATGGTCATTTTGTCTTTGTGGAAGAGCCAGAGGTCACAGGGTGTCATATCTGGTGAATAAGGAACATTAAAAACACACTAATATTTTTATAAGCCTATTTTTCCATTAGGTGGCTCTCAGCAATAGCATTCATTGTAGTTTTCTGTCACACCTCCTAAAGACTCTCAAGAAAGGGGACCTTCATAACTGCTTCAGAAACTGCATCATTTCGAGACTGTTTAATAGCAATGTATCTTTTACGATAATTTAATTTAAATATTCACTTTATATTTTGATCACCATATATATAATTTTCATTCCTTCTACATTCTGAAAGATAAAGGTCTCTACATTTTCCAGGGTTGTCTATAGCATTTGTTTTTATGGAAACATTAGAAGAGAGATTCCATTATGCAAGACTCCATTTAGCTTTGATTGCCTTAAAATACAAACTGCTGTGGTTTTATAGACTCACACTAAAGAAAGAAAAATACTTACTACCTAATTCCAGGTGTCTTGTAACTTATGAAGCACTAGACATAAAATCATTGAGTCTCCAGGGAAAGAAAGAACCTAAAGTGGAAACAAGGAAATCAAAGTGGTCAATAATGAAAACAAAAATAAAAAACTTCATTTCTCAATAAGGCTTTCTAAAAAATTTATTAATATTTGCTTTTTTATTTGTTTGTTTTGGGTTTGTGTACACGTGGTCATAATCTTCCTCCTAACCCTCATTTCTAAGTTTTTTAACCCAGCTAACACACTATCAATCAAGCAATGACTGGAGTTGATAAAAAATTAAAAATAATTATGTGCTATTTACTCCCTTGAACATACGTCATATACTCAAATGCCTTCTAGGGCTAAATGGACAGCCCATTGCACTGCACAGCTCCAAGGCATTGTTCATTCATGCTGAATTTCACATTGTGGTACACTGGGAATAATAAATAAATAGAGACAAAAAAAAAACCCAATAATACCATGGTACGTAAACATATAAAGCAGCCTGGAAAGAAAAGTAACAAATAGAAGGCCTGTCACCAAATTGGAGTGCACAAGACTTTACCAAGAAATCAAAGGACATTTGGACAGCATGTTTCATTCTAGAAATAGATTAAGAAGTATTTGTCTATGAGCAATTAGACTGGGTCTCCTGTATTATTAAAATTATTACATTCCAGAATCATTTCCATTTGGGGGGATTTTTAAATTCTCTCTCAATTACTGTATTTTAGAGAGAATTTTAAATTCTGAAGGCAGTACAACAGACATCCATTCTATCCCAAAAGTGGTTTAACCATTGTTTATATTGTTGGTTTTTATAGGAATGCAATGACAAATCCTTGTTTCTATGGACATATAAGTATTAGATCTAAATGAAGTTATTATTAGTGTAAGATGGTTATCGCTTCCTTGTTTCTTCTTGTTCTTACCTTGTTGTTAATTGTTCAGTGATTTGCAATTTTGCTGTGTGAGCAAGACAATCTGTAAAATAGCATGGCATTTACACAAAAAGCTTACAGTTTAGATGAGTAACAAATATGTATACAAAGAACGATGCTATAACTAAGACAAGTTGATTTTAAACACACTAACAGATTCAAAAAGGAGAGAAATTTGGGTATATATAAAAGGCATTGAAAATAGTCCTTGAAGATGTACCAAGATGAAGTGATGAAAGAAACATTAGAAAATTACATTGGTGAGGATACAGAAGCCAGAAGTGCTGTGACCCATCTGAACCATGTTCCTGGATCACCTGCAGCCTGTGGAGAGTAAACAAGATGGTAAGATTTTGAGAAAGAGAAGTTGAACACTTACCTTACTGGTCACTATTTCTTAGAACTTTTCTTTCTCCAGATTAATTTCCTGCTGCCTTAACCTTAAAATAATACAGCCCAAACTTCAGTCTTTGGGACACTCCATTTTCTATTCACATTCACCTTCTTTATGACTTTACCCTCATTGATTTAAATACCACCTGTAGTCTGAGGACTCCCACACTCATGTCTCCAATTCATACGCTGAACTCCACACACATACCTAAGGCCTTATGTGCCGAAAAGCCTAACAAACATCACAAAATCAAAAGTAGTCTTCATCTGTTTGGGCTGCTATAACTGAGTAATATACAGGTTGTGTAGCTTATAGAGAACAACTCATTTCTCACAATCATTAAGCCTTAAAGTCCAAGGTCAAGGAACCAGCCAGTTCAGTGTCAGGTGATAGCACTCCTTTATCTTTGATGGTGCTTTTTCACTGTGTCTTCACCTGGAAAAAGAGATAAGAGGTCTCTGCGGTCTCTTATGAAAACACTAATCCCATTCATGAGGGCTCTATCCTGATGACCTAATCACCTGTCAAAAGTCCAACCTCCAAATACCAACACATGGAGCACTGAGGGATTTTGCCATCTGAATTTTGGAGGGCACACATTCAGTCTATAACAAGTGCTAGAACTGAGATCCTGGTCTTTCCCTCCCCGACCCCAGCCTTCACCATATGAGTTGATTTTCTTCCTGACACTCAGGCCCAAACTCCTGGAGTCATACTCTTTCTATCACACTCTCAAACAATTACTAGAAAATCCT